GGCCTTTCATGTTTTCAAATCATGCTCCTATTAGCAATGTAATGGAAAATGTCTTGCTGCTGGTCATCCTAGCTTTATCATCTATCTAATAATAAATGTGTACAATGAGATTGGTGGCATATAAATTAAATAAATAAATACAGAAGCCCAAAACTCATTCTCTTTTCCATAATCACCATCTTCCGTACTGTAACCACCCCCTTTAGGAGAACCACAGCAAAACTCTGCTCCCCACCCTTCCTAACTCTATGAGGTAGGTCAGGAGGATATCATAACTTATGGTATTGAAGGCTGCTGAAAGATTAAGCAGAACCAAGAAGGTCCCACACATTCTTGCCAGAAATAATCACAAGTGCAATTTTGTCTCCATTCCCAATGATGCTTTTTTTTTCCTAATACCAATCTGAGACGCTTTTTCTCATCACTATATTGTGCAACTCAATCAATCAATGGACGGTTTCTTTATTTCTAAAACATGGATTATGGTTTAACTGCTCAAAACGTGTTTTTGGAAATATACACAATCCTGTATGCTAGTCTCTCTGACACTTTAGCCCAGTAATCAGGCAAACAGATCGGTGTATGGGAGAAAGCGTTAAAAACAGATTCTTGGATGCAGGGTCCTGACAGAAAGAAATGAAATAAAAACGTCTAAGGTTCAGCAACTAAAATACATTAAGTAATCAATGGTTTGACTTTAAAAAATATGACTGGTTTTGATGAGATGTAAATATATACTTTTTGATATTGACACTGATAATCTAAGCAGGAAATAAAAAATTGAACTGGGTGACCATAAACATTAAGCTTGATGGATGGCAAAATATGTCTGCTGTCAATTTTCCAGTCAGTAAATGCAGGAATAAAGATCATTTTTTAAAAAGCATTTAGTTAGCATATAGACAAGATGTAACTGACTAAAAAATATTGTAGCCAGGGACAAAGGTCTCTTCATTATTATTCATTACTCATTAAATTTCTATGCCACCCATCTCCCTTATAAAGTGACTGTCATGTTCTGGCCTTTACAACTGGCTGGGCAGCACATGTCATATTCATATTCTCTTTCATATTGCTTACTTTAATGTTCAATAAAAATGAAATGTGAAATACTTCTGCTTTGAAAATAATGTTTTACTACTGGAAACAACACTGTTTACAAAGTTTTTTACTTGCTGGCGCCGCCATACTATTCTCCTTTAGCCAAGCTAAGCTTACAAAGTTTTAAAATTGTTTTTTAAGTAAATTTGCCACAGTAACATTGTATGTGATAATTCAGCGTTGGGGTTTTCCACACAGTGGTTTTCATAAAGTTTTTCCATGTAAGCATTTTTTGAGGTACCTTCAAATTTAAAACTCTTGTTACCCAAGGGATGTTCTTTCCTGTTGATGACACAAAAAGAGGTGGAACAAAGCAGAAAATGAATCAAGAAATGAACAGCAAATGGAAACATTAAGTTTAGTCTTGTCTGTAGGAGCAAATTTTAAATTGGAACACTAATAGTGGAAAACAAGTTATAAAATATGGGAGAAAATATTTGCCTAGTCAATTTGATTTTCATTCAGCTTAATATAGGAAAACAAGTATGCATATCAATATGTGTTTCATTGCTAAGAAAGCATTAACAATAACACAGTTCCTGTTTAAAATAGCCTTGACATTTCCTCCTCCCCAATTCTCTGAATGTATTGGTTACATTTAACTGCTGTATCAACACAAACTTTGATTTGTCTAGAAGGAAAGCAAGTTGCAGTTGAAACGCCTCAAGCACCAGTGACCTAATGAAAGCTGGAAAACAAAATAGAGTAACGCACATTTATTTTTCTGTGTTAGCTCTGACACCTGCTGGCACAATAATGCTATGCAGTAACTCTACTAGACATAAGCAAATTAAACAAAATAGTCTTATGCCATGAAGTGGGAAAATAAATAAAAGGCAAATATCTTTGAAGACATATATTCCGACATGCCTTTCATTTTGCCATCAAATCGAGTTGATTTCACGAGACAATGCGACCACTCATTAAAATGTTTTTGCATATAAATTTAAGTGCATTTGTTCTGCCTTTCCACAAGACATTTAAAAACCACTGTAATGCAGTATTCAGTCTTCAAATTACTGTTGAATAGAGAACTGCTTCTGCAGAACTGTAGAATCTTACTCAGAATTACTTTCCATAAATTAGAAAATGAAATTTAATTTTCAGAATAATTTTGACAACTAGAGCTCTGACTTTGATAGCTCCTAGTACTTTCAATCAAAAGGCCTTCCTTCCTTTCTCCCTCCCTCCCCTCCCTCTCCCCCTCCCTTCCACTCTCCTGCGCTGCCCTGCCTTCTCCTCCACTTGCAGAATAAAGACACAGTGGGAAAATCTTCATGGGTTACCAACAGTAGAGTGCGTCTGACACTTCTAGTTAGAGTGTGTCTAACATTTCTTGAACAAAGCTGTAGGGTTGCACAATTAATATCCTTGTTTGGAAGTATTCAAAGCTTTCAGTTATATGAACACGCAAAATGAGGCATGAAAATATTTGTGTACCCATTTTTAATACAAGGAGAAGAGAAATAGCTCTGAACTTGCTCTTAATATGATTAGGGAGGGAGAGTTGTCTGAAAGAACTTGCATGATAAAAGCCTTATCAAGAACTTGCAAAATAAAAGCCTGTTTACTTAATGCACAAGTAAATATTTTTCTCATGACATCTATATTAAAAAAAACAGCAATACCTTAGAAATTCTTTCTCAGAAATATTACTGGTTAAAAATATCCAGGTGCCATGTGGAAATAATCCTGATTCTGATACCATTAATTACAATAACTGGCATCAGGATGCTCAACTTAAAAGCATTAAGTTGATGATTAATCAAGACCTCAATGCTAAACTGTATTTAATATCAATCACACCAATCGAGAGCCCAATTAAATCACTTGTATAAAGGTTAGATATGATTAGATTAGGTCTTATTGGGTTCAATAATGGGAACCAGTTCACTGCATTCCTATACTTTTGACTATTATTTTTATGCTGAAGTGTACATATTTCAACTTCCTGTTGTACATATACCCCCAGTCTTTCCATGTGCTGTGCACCCCAAAAGGATGTTTTCAGTGTGCACATGCCTGTTTTGTTACATCATAGAAAAATTCAGTAACAAAATTGAAATAAATAGAACATTAACAATAAAAATATTTTCTAAAATGTTTATATTTCATGATTTAATAATATAAATGGAACACTAGGACAATAAAGAAAGCTCTTCAGCTGTTGCTAAAAGACTACATACAGGTACCATGTAACCCTCCTAGCACAGAATATTTCATAACAAAACAACACTACTGAAAACTCCTCTCCTTATTGCCTCAGTTTGCATCTGATGGGCATGGAGCAATACACAAGCCTCCATTGTGATTCTTTCTCAGTCCCTTCCTGCTTTGCTAATTTTCTGCAATACAACCAGAATACATACTAGCACTCTTCCTTTCCATCTGAATCCTAATATGATAAAGGTCATTCTGTATAAGACAGAGTTTATGTCTTTATCTTCAATGATGAATACCAGGGCTCTCATATACCAGTAGGATGGCATAGACACCGCAAGAACCATTTAATTTTTTATTTTACTATCATACTTTTCCTTCTGTGTTATTTTTAGACAATTACTTTGTATTTTGGGAGATTTCTACTTTGATGAGTGGAGTACAAATGGCTTAAATCAATAATAAGTCAACTAGGTGTCGATAGAGCAATTTTAAATATGTTTTTAGCATCCAGACATCATGGAACACAATGAGACTTTGCTGACTAATCACACAAAAAAGCTTACATGGTTTTTAGAAGAGAAATTTTATTGGAAGGGTTATCAGGTTTAAAGGTTTAGGATTTCATACATGTCTAGATATTATTTTTGCTACAACTGTAAATATATCTTGGATGGGGAAGAATAGACTCCAGCTCAATCCTGGGAAGGCGAAGTGGCTTTGAGTTTTACGGAACTCTGTATTCAAGGATTTTCCAGCTTTAGTTCTGGAGGAGTTGCACTACCCCAAATGGAACCAGTGTGCAACTTGATGGTCCTTCCAGCCTTGCAACTCCTATACAATGAGTGGGCAGGACAATTTTTGCACAACTCTGCTTGTGCATCAGTTGCACCATTTCCTACACAGGGAGAGGGGGAGGGAGATGCCTACAGTCCCTCATGACTAGTCATATCCCAAGTGGATTATTGCAATGCTCTATATGGGGAGCATCCAGTCCCTCATGACTAGTCATATTCCAAGTGGATTATTGCAATGCCCCCTTGGGGAGCATCCAGAATTACAGAAGCAGAATGCAGTGGTATGAGCAGTTATGACACATATTACACCTCTGTTCAATGAGCTGTGCTGGCCACAGGGAGACATATGAGGGTGCAATTCAAGGTGCTTGGTCTTCCTCATACATAATTTCATGGCATGGGATTAGATTATTTATGGCATTGCTCTCTGATTGTTTCTGTCCACCCCTTTAGATCCAGCAGGAGAAGCCTGCTATGGGCTCTATCAGTTAAATCTGTGGGACCCAGGAAATGACCCTTTTTTGTGACTGTGCTTGTCCCTCCACAAGATTATATCAGTCTCAACCTGCCACCTTTTCAGAAGTCGCTTAAGACATGGATGTGTCCCAGGTATGAGAGTTGGAGTGTGCTGGAACCCGTGATAGGATTATTATTTGTTTATACTGGTTTAGTTCCCTGTTTATGTTTTTGTGTAATGTTTTTAATATTATTCTTAAATGATATAAGCTATCCAGAGTTGCTATTGTGAGATCGGTAGCTATAAATCAAATCAATCAATCAAACCTGGTGTATGCTAAGTGTATTGTCCTTGTGCAACTGCTTTTTGTCTTATACATAAAATTAGCCACACATTTTCAGAAACCGCAATAAACCTTTACCTAATATTTTTATCAACTAACACCCTCGATTTAGATAAAACTAGTAAATATATATTTAACTGACTTCTACGAATAACTCCCTCCGTCCAGAAATAGGCCGACCGGCTGGACAGAAAAGGCAACCTGTTAAAGCAGAGATTCTTAACTTTGGCAATTTGAAGATGCCTGGACTCCAAGTCCCAGAATTCCCTAGCCGGCACGCTAGCGCTAAAACGCCGAGCACTTCCGCTACAGAAGACGTCGGGGGCAATGTCGGCCACAAGGGGCGCTCGCGCGCCTAATAGAATCCTCTTCCAGCGCCGTGGGATGACGTCAATGGAGTGCGTCAGCGTTGGAGACTGTCAGGAGCAAGTATGTCGCCGCCGACGCTTTTCAGCTTGCCGGAGGCGCGGTTGCGTTTCATGGTAAGTGGGAAACTGAAGTCGGTGGAGTGAGAGACCTCCCGACTGGATTTCAGATGGAGCGCGAGTAAGGATGGGGCCCAGGCCCGTTTCTCGCGTCCTTTGCGTGTTTCTCTGTCGAGTTCAGACTGGCGTCGGTTGCATTTCTCATCCTCTTTCAGCGTTTAGAATGGAGATCTTTTCTCTCTCTTTGGCGGACCGCCTCTGCACTCTTTTAGGTGCTTGGTGCTGCCGTTTTTATCATCCTCGATGACCAGTCGTGCACCCTGGAGTTTATGAACTGAACTAGTGCCATTCGGTCCGACTTCTCTTAATGAGCAACGTTGCAAAGTTATTGTTGATTTTTTTCCCCCGTAGTGACCCATTACGTGGCGGTATTGTCTTGGTATAGCATGGAAATTATTGGTGCTATTTTGGGGGTCATAATAACATTTTGATGCTTTTGTGTATAATTACTGTGTTTACATCTTTAGGCACTGATGTGTTACCTAGTTAGGGCAATGAAACGTCTGCATGAAAATAAACATGCTGAGAGACACCAGAGACCCATGTCTTTATAATTTATTATAATTTATATTATATGTAAATTACGTCAGTGTAGCACATTTATATTTGATCAGTTTAGACGTTTTGCAGAAGTTGAGCTGTAGGTTGACTCCTATCTGTAATTACCTTACTTCAGAAAATTAAAATGGTGAGTAGGGATCGCCAGGGATTGATTGCCAATTTGAGAAGGGGTGCGTTTTATTCCTGTCTAGCCTCACTAAGCTTTGCCTCCCATCGCAAGGTGCTCTTCAAGTATTGGAAGTGGTGCTTAGAATAGACATGTAGGTTCAACACCAGCCCAGTATGACATCCCCAAGAAGGAATTGAGAGAATTACTCTTGGAAGTTGGGGAAGGTAAGACTAGGTAAAAACACCTTGGTCTTGGCTACCTCACCTTGTGCAGTACTTAGCTGCAACACAGAAGCCATAAAAAGAGAAGCCCGCCATGGGCAAAAGTTCTGATAAATGTTCAGCTTTTGATATACAAGCCATTATTGTATGCACACTGGACTGATAACAGATTGCATTGCTGTTCTGCTTAGACATGCTGAGAATGTTCACTTATTTTACAGCATCACAGAGGTTCTAAAACTCTGGTGTTTTGAAAATAATAAAATAATAAATGAAGGCTCCTGACTTGTCCATGCACAGCAGGAGTGTAGTCTGGCATCATTTTTGTTGTCTATAATTCAGTTTATGTCCTAAACCAGCGGTCGCCAACCGGTGGGCCGCGACAAAATTTTGGTGGGCCACAGAGAAATCTCACCCCAAGAGCACCCCCCCAAAGCAATTAATCCAGGCTGCAAAGAAACACAAGGCTGCTCAGCCCACATGGCCCGTGGGAACCCGCCCTGTCCACTCACTCCTTACCCGGCAAACTTGTCTGCTAAGTTGCTAGATCTTTTTCTGACCATCATTTGTTCTGCTGTGCCAGGAGATTTAGATTTATCTAGGAAGCAGGAAATGGTTGGATTTCTTGCTTTCTAGCTAAGCACAGCCCAACCTCCCTTAGGACTGAAGGTTTGCTTGCAAGCAAATTCAGTGCAGACTCATGGCAGGCAAATTTGAGAGACTGAGCTAGCTGATGGCAGATAGATAGATCACTGAATGATTCTGTGAGCAACTCAATCTGCCTGCCTGCTTTGCCTGATTTTGGGTAAAAGTTGCTTTTTTATATAAAAAATTCAATATTTACATGAATGGTATGTTGTGAGTTAATTTTGTGAGTTTGCTTGCTAGCAAATTTTATGTGACAGACTGAGCTAGCCAATGGTAGATAGATAGATTTCTGAATTAATCTGTGATTCTGTGAGCAACTCAATCTGCCTGCCTGCCTGCATTGCCTGATTTTGGGTAAAAGTTGCTCTTTTTTAATAAAAAATTCAATATATAAATATTTATAATATTTACATACAAGCCATGCCCAGCCAGTCACATGACCACCAAGCCACACCCAAAACTTAGGCCACACCCACAGAATCAGTTAGTGGTCCCTGGGATCTAAAATTATGAGTTTGGTGGCCCCTGAGGTCCCAAAGGTTGACGACCCCTGTCCTAAATGGTTTGAAGATTATCTACAGAACCAAACAGAAAATAGTATCTAGCGTGTGTTTAGACATATGCTGAATAATAGAAAAATGAAGCACTTTCCATAATTTGAGGTGTGCAATCTTTATGTCATCTTAAATTCCATTTTAAAATATAAGTTTGATGTAGATTTTCTAAAACACTCATTGTTTTAATATCTGATAAGCAAATAAATTATTTCTCATTTTTCTCTTAGAACTCTACTCGAGATGCACTCAAAAACAAAACCATTAAGCCTTTATTGAATGCATTCAGCCAGATACCTGGAAGGTAAATTTCAATTTGATTTGCTATCATAACAAAAACAAATTAGTATTTTATTGAAATTGAAAGTTTTAGCAAAGCAATCTAATATTTTTATATATTTCTAGTGAAAATGAAAAAAAGTTAACACTGGATCAAGCTTTCCGAGTTGCTCTGGAAGAAGAAATTGTGAGTAGTTTTTGATTAACTGTGTATGTGAAAGTTAATTGAATATCTTGAGTGATGTCATTCTAAACTGTATATAATTTTTCAGTTTCTGGAAGTAAACTTTCAGAAGTGTGACTGTGGTCTGATCTCAAAACAAGGTTGAATGTCCAGAACACTTCAAATTATGTTTAGTTCAAGAGGTTACTTCTGCAGCTTTTGAATCAACTTTGAAACAGCATGACCATGAGGAAGTTGAGCAGTGTACAGAGGAGGAACAATGTATTTTGTTTCTGAATCAATAAGTTTCATATGTTTATATTAGTAAGCCTTAAATTCTATTAGACTATATTGTGTCAAACCAATAAAGCAGCTTAACATTGCTTCAGTTGTGACTTTTCCATTTCTTTAGTCAAGGTGAGAACATCTCTAAATGATACCTTTATATATAGAGGTGTCCTGGCTTCAGAATATTTAGTTTCACAGATTATGTCATGCTGCTGTCAGAATCTGACTTGGAGGGGAAAGCTGAACAGCTGACAGGGAGTGGAAGTGTGGCTCTGTTGGCTGTGGAAGAAACTGGGGAAGGGCAAAGTCCAGCTGGGGAGCAGGGGAGAGGTAGAGCAAGGGAGAGGGAATTCAGAGGAAGACCCAGGCCCACCCCCTCTTCATCCTAGGGCACGCAGGGAGGAACGGAGAAGGGAGCAACATGAGTTGCTTGGCTTACAGGGGAGGAAAGGGCCCTGATTCCCTTCATTAGCTGCAGCTGGGAACACAGTGTATAAACAAGGAAGCTGAGCACTGCAAGCTATTGGGAGCATACATGAATTTATCTTGTGTCGTCGTGGCTTATCTGTGTTCCTGGCATCTTCCTAAATCTGAAATTCCTTCTTCCCTGTCAAGCTAATTACTTCAGCTTGGTTTGTTTGGATTTTTAGTTACAGTTTGTACGTACCTTGTTTTGGACTGAATTTTCTACAGTTAAAGGCTGTTCTTGGGAGAGTTTTTTTTCCAGACGAAGGTAATCTGGACATTGGGGGCAAAGTTAGAGATACTAAAGGGACTCTTATTGCTTATTTGACTGTGTTGCCTTTGTGTCATGGCCCGGGTCATCACAGATTATATGGCCCAAAGAAACACTGTTCATACATGTTATTTACCTTGCATGAAATTAGCATTGGAATCAAAGATGCTGCACAAGTAGATCTTGCATAGTGATTGCCTCAGCAACAATTTGAAGTTATGATTGTGATGAAAAAGTAAATTTGTGATCAATGCCTGCATTTATGACCTTCTCAGTATCTGTGTCTCAGTCATGTTTGCCATTACAGTCACTATGTGTCGCCTTGTGCCTGACCTATTATTTTTTTCTTTTCTCCCCTCATAGAGTGGAGAGAATGCCTAAACAAGCAATCTCTTCTTTTCCCTAACACTTCCCTAAGAGGAAGTTAGCAAACTCAGCTCTGTGACTGATTAGCTGGCTGGCAGCTGCTACTTGTAATTTGCAAAACCTTAATCAATTTCACACTTTCCTCTTTTTTTGCCTCCTAAATGCCAATGTGCTAGGTAAACAGCTAACACATAACATTCAATGTGTATTTTCTATTATGTGTCTGGTTACTCTCTTATAATCCTTCCTCTCCAATGAATGTAAATGCAAAATACAAGCATTGTTTCCCATCTTACAATTGTCTCAGATCTGGAGTGAGCATCTCAAAGGAGGAGTGGAGTGAGGGAAAGGGGCAGTAAGAATTTACCCAGCTTCCTCTTGAATGGAATTCTGGAAACTTACTCCACCATTTGAGGTTACATGTAATGTCATGTAAAGCAAAGGAAAGTTGAGGTAAAATCATAAACATAGTTGCAGTCATATGATTTTTCACTTAGCAACTGAGTTTCTGGCCCCAATTGTTGCTAAACATGGACTATCAGTACGTGATGAGCAAGATAAGTATTTAAACGGTTTAGTTCTTATCATTAATACCATTAGTATTATCATTAAGAGTGAAATATTCATGAGACGTTATCAAAATCTAGTCTATACCTCAACATGAGCCTGAGATTTCTCACCATCTTCAGTACTGGAAATAAAACACTTTTTTTCTGATATATGTTTTTCCAAGAATTTGTGAGGACCACATGGGAAATAGATAACTTTCCAATGCAGTCCATTAAGATAATGCACTGTAGTCTGTTCTAAGTATTATATGATTCCACTTTTGATGGCTATTTTTTTTTTTAGATAAATAAAACTTCTTGTGAAAATGTTCTGGCTATCATTTCGCTTGTTATTAATGGGGTAATAGAAGGTGAGTCTGTTTTCCTTTGTAAGTGCTTTGAAATAAAATGTCATGACTAGACTCTGTATTAATTAAAAAAAAACTTGTTCATATTATTTATATTACTTAACACATAGCTTATATAAATATTGCATTATCCCACCAAGGTTGACTCAGCCTTCCATCCTTCCGAAGTGGTAAAATGAGGATCCAAATTGTTGGGGGGCAATATGTTGACTCTATAAACTGCTTTGAGGGGGCTGTAAAGCACTTTAAAGCGGTACATAAGTCTAAGTGCTATTGCTATTATGCAAAATATCTTTACTAATTCAGTTTCTTTACTAATTCAGTCCACTTTGAAGTAGTACTACCATCTTTTGTCCAATGCCAATCTGCAAAACCAAAATGTACTTGTAAATTACAAGAACACACACACACACACACACACACACACACACACACACCCTTCTAAACCTACTGGAGCAGGTGATTGGACTAGAATAGATATCTCATCATCCTTCTCCCTCCCTCTCTCCCTCCTTTTTTATTTCTTTTTCTTTTTGTCCCTTTTTCTTTCTTTCCCTTTTCTCTTTCTTTTCTTCCTTCTCTCTTTCTCTCTCTGTTTCTTTTCTCTCTCTCTCTTTCCTTAGGCTCACCCCATTGACTTGGTGCACCGCTCTGCTCGGACTTGCTTGGGCAGGTCCATCCGGTGCAACGGGCTCAATGGGGTGGACCTGTGGGACCGGCACCTAGAACGCGGCAGTGGCAGCACGTTTGAAAAGTAGAGCAAATCCACAGGTTGGTAATTTTTGCTACAAAGAATCACAAAGGCTTCTGGGCTGTGCACAAGAAGGGACACACACGTCAATGCAATTCAGCAACATAAAATAAAGAAATACAAATAAAACAAATCAACAAGAATCAGCAAAGCATTTCTGATTAGATTCTATTCACTATTAGAATCTAATCAGAGATGCTTTGCCGATTCTAGTCCAATGACCTGCTCCAGCAGGGTTAGAAGGGAGTGTGTGTGTATATGTGTGCATGGCTGTCAAAACTCCAGAAAGAGGTCAAATAGCTCTGGGGAGGCCAGTCATAAATTAGAACACTTGCTAAACAACCGGGCATTAAGTGAGGAACACTTGTATTTGGTTTGCCAGTCACCTGGCAATGCCCACCCAGTCATATGACCACCAAACCACACCTATCCAGTCATGTGACCACCAAGCAATGCCGAGCCAGCAAGCCACGCCAGCCAGTCTCATGACCAGTAATCCACACCCTCAAATTAGGCCACGCCCACAGAAATTTGAATCCCACCCCTGGGTGGGGGGCACCGAGGATGAATTTGTAGAACCAAGGGGGTGGTGGACTGAAAAAGTTTGGGAACCACTGGCCTAGATTGTTAGAAAGCATAGTTTAGTCCCATATTTCCAATCACAGTGAATGGTAACAAATGTACAAGTTGAGGTAGCCACTGCTAGCATAGTGGAATATTTAGCAATAGCAATAGCACTTAGACTTATATACCACTTTATAGAGTTTTACAGCCCTCTCTAAGCGGTTTACAGAGTCAGCATATTGCCCCCAACAATCTGGGTCCTCATTTCACCCACCTTGGAAGAATAGAAGGCTGAGTCAACCTTGAGCCTGGTGGGATTTGAACTGCCAAATTGCAGGCAACCAATGGTCAGCAGAAGTGGCCTGCAGTAGAGTACTCTAATCACTGCGCCACCGAGGATGTTTATATTTTTTATTTAAAATCTATATATTTCTACATTGGCATTTAATATTCCAGAGTATAAATTAACATCTGAGTTTGAATGAATTTGTTGAACCTAGGATTATAGGTTAATTGCTTCCATTAAATAAACTTATAGTCTAATGAACACTGCTCAGATTGCAACTGCAGTTAGTAGCATTAGCCATGCACTTTAGGCTATTTTAACATTTTTTAAAGTACTTTCTCTAATTCTGCAGATTTTAAGCAGAATTAAGTTAAGTTTTTAATTTGTCTTAAAGTAGAAAGCTAAAGTGTATGGCTAAAACTATTGACCTGCAGCTACAATCAAAGCAATGTTCATTAGTTTTACTACAGCTTTACTTAGCTGTAAGAAGGACTTTTAAGGATGACTTACAACCACAATTGTGAATGGAATTTCAATCATTAAGCAGTGTGGTGATAAAGTGAGATACCACAGGAACACACCATTTAGTGACCACAATACTGGCATTCCTAGCTGTCATCATTAACCAAGAATCATGGGTTGTTAAAGGGAGTCTCAAATAAGGCCTGTAGGGTGTTGCAGGGGAGTGGTGGGAGGCCCTGGAAGGCCTGGCACACACTGCATGCAAATTGTGCTATAGGGTTCTGTAATATGCGAAGCCACAACTGCACCACCCACCCAGCAGCACTTAACAACTGAAGTAAGTCACCTGCCTGTTTCCCAGTTACCCAGTCTATGCCGTTTGGGCAGTCCTGCACTCATCAATGGCAGCGCTGGGTCGGTCTGAAGTAGAGGCCTGAGGCCTTAAGCAATCTGAAAACTTTGCAATGATGCTAGCCTGACACCATTTGAGACCAGAAGACTGCTGCATAGTGGAGTGAGCTACCGTCATTCATTCCAGCTCCTGCTGACCTAATAGTTCAAAAGCGTGCAGCTGCAAGTAGATAAATAGATACCATTTTGATGGGTACCGGGGTGGGATGCCACCAGTTCAGCCGGTTCGATAGAACTGGTAGCTGTGAAGAGCAGCTGAAATATTGTTAATAGTGCCTGTCTTAGATGGTGTCTCTGGAAATATTTATGTGCTGTGCCTTTTCCGTACCACAGAAAAGCATATGAGCAATTTTGATCACATGGCCACAGGGATTCTTTGGTAGCCATAATTTTGAGAATGGGTCATAAAGTCCATTTTTTCAAACACTGTAATTTTGAATGAGTGGTGAATGAATAATTGTAAATTAAGGACTACTTGTACAATATTTTTAAAGGCAGTTTATAATAAACAATGAAAATCAAAGTCTGTATTATTATTTTGTATATATTATTATGTATATGCTGTATATATTATTTTCAAGATTCTTGAAAAAATGCCCGTTCTTACTTTTTATAAAAAGAAATCATTTTAGCAGACACATAAACAGATTCTCTTCCGTTAAGGTATTTGTACTGCATCAACTCCTTTTGTGCTCTTGGGAGATGTTTTGGATTGCCTTCCTTTGGATCAGTGTGATAAAATTTTCACCTTTGTGGAAAAAAACGTTACCACATGGAAATCGGTAAGTATCATGGAATTTGTTAAGTTTTACAAGTTCATTTTTGTAATAGGTAAATAATTTGGGTAGCATGCAAGAATTATGTAAAACAAACAGATATGCTGTTTGGAATAATACAAATTGATCACTGTATTAAATGATTAAGTATGTAATTGTGTCATTTATCAATTGTAGGAAAGAAGTGCAAATACTTAAGAACCAAGCATTTTTGAGGACTAGGTGGGATTCTGAGAAAAAAATAGATAAAAGTTGTGAACTTTGATAGGCTTTATTAAGTCCACTGGCCTAAAATTACTTGTGACTGCACTGGCTGCACAGCTTCAACAGCATTCTTAATCCAACATTTTTTGGATGTTTAACCCATAGTTGTTCAGAGTGACTTTGATTAGTATTGTATATTTTACTAGCAAATAACTTAGATAAATTCTTAGATAGTTATATGTGGACTATGATGATCTCTCAAAACTGTGGTTAAAAATATAACAATTTTTTTTTTGGTTCATGAATTAAAACATGTAACTCACTGTGGTACTTTATCAGCCTTTTTAGCTTTGTATAATGTATTCAGTTTAGTATTTAAAATCACAAAGGATTTTTCAAAGCTATCAAAGGATTACCTTCCCCAAAATAACATTTCTGGGTGTGTGAATTAAATATAAGTCTTACAAAATGCTCCTGTCTTCAACTTAGTTATTCCTATTTGCAAAATGTAAATACCTTATTCAGGATGAAGAATATCCCTTATAAAAAAAGAATTTGCCTTTGCATTTCTGGGGAGGTTGAATCAACAGAACATGTCCTTCTAAATTCTGTTTTCTGAAGCTTGAAATATATATTTTATAGCATGCATGAGAGACTATTCATAATCCTACTCTGATTATCTTTTTTAATGTAATTAAGTACATCCTGTTTTTTAAATCTCAACTAATGATATCATGTTGAATTATATGCTATTTTTAGAACACATTTTACTCTGCAGGAAAGAATTATTTACTGAGAATGTGCAATGGTGAGTAGCCTTTTTCCTAGCATTGCCAATGAAAATACAGCCTTCAGTGTAATTTTCAATGCTGCTTGTTAAAACTGTACTCATGTCCTACTATTGTTGATCAAGATCTAAGAATATAATTTTGTAATGAAACATTACAGGTAGTCCTCAACTTATAAGAGTTCATTTAGTGACCATTCAAAATTACAATGTAACTGAAAAAGTGATTTATGACCATTTTTCACACTTACAACCATTGCAGTATCTCCATGGTCATGTGATCAAAATTCAGATGCTTGGCAACTGACTCATATTTATGACAGTTGCAGTATCCCAGAGTTATGTAATCAGCTTTTGCAGCCTTCTGACAAGCAAAGTCAATGGGGAAGCCAGACTCACTTAATGACTGTGTTATTAACTTAACAAGTGCAGTGATTCACTTAACAAATGTGGCAAGAAAGATTGTAAAATGGGACAAAACTCACTTAACAAATTTATCACTTAGCAACATAAATTTTGGGCTCAATTGTCGTAAGTTGAGGACTGTCTGTATTAGTTTATTTAGCACTTTTTGCTTGACATATCTGCATTTTTATTTGAACAATAATATATTTATCTGAAAAGGATATAGAACTGTGTATATATGCAACTTAGTAACACTATGATCTTTAGAATATTTTCTCAAAAGTTGCTCCAGATAGTTCAATTCTTCCCATATGGAAAATAAATAAAAAACAGGAGATTAAAGAGAATGCATGGTTGTATTTGTGGAAAGTATTTACTGCTGTCTTTTGATACCAGAGTCTATTCCTGTAACATTTTTAAAAGGTTGGAAACTTAAATGCATTTTTCTTTGATATTAAGATCTTTTAAGAAGACTGTCAAAATCACAAAATACAGTGTTTTGTGGAAGAATTCAGCTCTTCTTGGCCAGGTTATTTCCTCTTTCAGAAAAGTCAGGTAAGTTTCTTTTTAAGCATGAACAGCAAGCAATACAATGAACAGATTAATCCATCACATATATTTTAAACCCAATTTGGTCCTAATTTTACAATATCATTTTATGTCTTTAATTTGCCATATTCAGGATGTTTTTCTCCAAATTTTCCTAAGTACCATTGTCTGCATTTTTAAAAATTGAAATATTGTATAATTATTTATAAAGTGCACAGAAAACTATGATATTTGCAAATATCACTTCAGATTATTTTGCCTGATCAGATTTTCCCCCCTACAGGGCTTAACTTGCAAAGTCAATTTAATTTGGAAAATATCACAGTTTTTAATACCAGTGAGCAAGACAGCACCCTTGGACAGAAGGTTATATTTTATTATTATTTTTTGTTATCCACACAATATGGAAAACTTGGAAAATGTAGATATAATAAGCAGGCTGTAATTATCTCAAGAGAAGGAGCATGAAGTGATTTTAGACATAAAGTATCTATTATTTAATTTATATTGCACCCAAATCATGAATTATGTCAGTTGTTTAAGGAACAAATTTTGGTGGAGATGCAGAAGTGAAAAAAGAACATTCTAATTTATGAAATCAATTTCAGTGTTTGTTTTAAAAATACTCATGGTCTGTTCTGTTTGAGCGACCACTGATGTCTTTCAGCAGATTATTGATTATTCTTCTTTTGAATGAGTAGAACAATTTTCTACTCATGTCGATGGAATGGAAATTAATATTAAATTAATTATGTGACTTTAGCATGCAGAAGAGAGAGAAGAAGGAATGGAAGTAGAAGAAGGTGAAATGGGAGATGATGAAGCTCCTACAAGTTGGTAAGGAGAGATAAGTTTAAATTCTCAGTTACGAAATAAAAGAAAATGTATGAAATCTATTGGAATTATAACTGTTAAAAAGATTGCCTGTAACTTTTACTGTACATTACCATTTTTATGAGGGTCTAGTTTAAAATCTTATTAAATAGGGAAAATTATTGGGTCATGGCTATGTTTATTGAGATTCAAAGATGTCTATCCATTGCACAAGTTCTCATTTCTTTGTTTATGTAATATCAATAGGACAACAAATGTATGTATATATGTATTTCAATAATAAATGTACCAAATTTATTTTCAATAATAGCTAGATATATTTATGAATGAATATATTGTAAATATTGGTTTGTCAGTTCCATTCCAATAGATTATAATCTGTACAGAAAATTTTGGTCACTTCAAGATTACTTCAGAAATCCTGTGCAGTGCTATGAAAAGGTCTCATGGAAAACATTTCTTAAGGTATTGTGCTTATTATATTTCATTTCCATTTGTGGGTATATAAATACATATTACTTCTGGAATTCCAAGCAAAATAATTATTGTTATTTTAACCCACTTTTTTATAACTCAAAAGGTTGAACATACCCAGTACTCCTCCCCCTATTTTCCTCACAACAACCATTTGATGTGAATTGGGCTATTAGAAAGGAATTGACCCAGAGTCACCCAGCACTTTCATGCCTTAATACAATGCCTATGAATAAACTTTTTAGAATGCTTTGAAGGAACATTAATTAAGAGTTGTAGACAACACAGTGCAAATTACAATTTATTTGAGGGGATTTTATCTGTAATGACTATTCTTCTTTTCTAGCCATCTTTTACTGGAAATCATTTGTTAATGTACATGTATATAAAATGCATTCTTTGACAGTAGGTAATGGAAATAAAAAGAGAGTAGACCAGCATCGTTTGCATCTCATCAAATCTCACTTCTGTTCTGAGGCTATAATTTGATTGTTGCATTTTATGTGATCTATTTTAAAAGTACTCAGAAGAAGTATTAACTGTCTTTGAGAGCTACAAGTTGGATGACACTCAGGCATCAAGAAAAAAATTAGAAGAGCTGAAAACTGGAGGAGAGCATGTTTATTTTGCAAAATTTCTTACAAGTGAAAAGGTATATTTTTCCTGTCCCTAAAAGTAGATTTTATTGCAAGAGGAATTTTGTCTTAATCCTTACCACTGTATTAATACTTCAGTTGGCAAGGAAATAATGATGGATTATTATCTGATTGTCTTGTCGCTGAACTCCCTGCACCTATCAGGGTTTGTTATTTCTCTTGGCTAGTAGTCTCTCTGGGTTTCTCAGAAATGCTGAAGGAAAAGAGCAGACATTTGGAATTGTGGGCTTTTCTACTTGGGCGAAAGAGAAATTACTGGTGCTTTTTTCAAGAGGCAACTGGACTTTCTGGTTTTTCTTTGAAGAAGTTTTGCTTCTCATCCAGGCAGCTTCTTCAGCTCTGTCTGGATGGTGGGAAATGGAAGGATTTCTTCAATTGTCCTTCCAATTCCCACCATCCAGTCAGAGCTGAAGAAGCTTCTTGGATGAGAAGCGAAACGTCTTCAAAAGAAAAACCAGAAAGTCCAGTTTCTTCTTGAAAAAAAGGACCTTTGGGATAACCATGACCTGGATGACTGAGAATCTCCATAGACAGTTGGTGTTGTAGAACTTATTATTTCTAAACTAGCAATGAAGAAATAAAAATGCTGAAGGAAAGTACAGGTAATCTTCATTTAACAGTCACGGGGCAGGAATTTCTGTTGCTTAACAATGTGATCGTCAAGCACAACGTCATGTGACTGTGCCGCTTAGAAACAACAGTCCAGTACTTAATATTTGCCATCATTAAGCTAACCCCAAAACATTTTAAGTGCAACATTGTGGGGTCCTCATTTACAACCTACAGGTTTCCCATTGACTTTGCTTGTGGGAAGCTGGCAGGAAAGCTGGCAGCTGAAAAAATGGCAATCATGAGACTGTGGGGATGTTGCAATTGCAAGCTGGTCGCTGAGTACGTGGTTCACAATCACATGAATGAAGGGATGCTGCAACAGCCACAGATATGAGGAGTGATCCTAAGTACCATTGTAGGTGTGAACTGTTGGTGAAGAAGTGATTGATAAGAAAGGAACCCCTGTATTTTGGTTAGATTTAATACTGCAAAGCGGTAGCCATCAGGGAAGGAAGTTGTCATTTGAGTAAAGCATTAAAAAAAAGATTGTTATTGAAAAACTACTTGATCTATTAACTACAATATCCACTTCTGACTAGATTAGTACGTGATTGGGATTAAGATTTTTGATAAATGTGATGGCCAGGTGTGTCTCTAGAGTTATGCTTGCTCCACCCAACTATTCAGCAATGTGTACTTAGCTAAAGCTATTTCATTTCCCAGAAATAACATTGTAACTTTTTTTTACAAATACGATTAACAAAGTGAGCTGAACATAAATACAAATCTGGTCTTTCAGAATCAGTTAAAGAGACTTTCACATTTGATTATTTTTTTAGAATCAAGATAAGCAAGACTTAGAAAAATCTAAGTCTCATACTTAAATTCAATATTTTATGTACATACCTAGTATTGATTCCAAAAACCATACACTGCAGCAAACATCTTGTGTGGTTTCAACCATTTTAATTGTACATGCCCCATTAATTTCATTTTACTTACTTTTGTATTTTAAAAACAGAAAACTACAGAATATGTGTTTATTTGTCTCTCTGTCTTTAATAGTTAATGGATTTACAGTTGAGTGACAGCAATTTTCGTCGTCATATCCTATTGCAGTATTTAATATTATTTCAGTATTTAAAGGGACAGGTGAAGTTTAAAAGGTAAGCTAGGAAAGTCTTTTAAATACTTTTTTTTACTTCTTTAATATATGTGATCCAATTCACTGCTGTCATTGTCTGCTTGTATGACTCTGCTTCTAAATGCTGTATATCGGAAAGTATCCATGATCTATTCAAAGTTCTAAATAGAAAGAAGTTGAACTATAATACAGAAAATGGGCTTTGATTATGCTGCTTATTGAACTGTAATTATTGTATTTTTAATTTTTTAGACTTATACTTCTTACTATGTTTTTGAAATACATATTTGCACTGCTTTTATAGAAATCCGTATACATTTGATTCCTGGGCTGCCTGCTTATTGTTCTATACTCTGAATGTGATTTCATATATTCAGGTCATTGATGTTCTTGGTGTGGACACAAAAATAAGTTGTAAATTAATGTAGTAAATTAAAAGTGTAACTGAATGCAAATGAGAGATAACTGGTTGTAAAAATAAAATCTAACCTTCCCTTCAGTTCTCCATTTCTGCCACAGTCCCAGTTTCTCACACAACCCCTTGGGAAAGTAAATTGCCCATCCCTGGTATCCTTCCTTGAGCAGGGGATCGCAATAGAAGACCTACAAAGTCCCTTCCAGCCCTAGGAGTCTAACAAATCTAGCAGATAAATTACTGCGATAAAAGTTCTGGTGTAAGGAAAAGATTGGAGTGAACAAGCCTCATACAGAATGGCATTTTAAAGTCAGGATTATTTATTTTGCTTTTAAGAACTGGGAGAATCTGAAAAAGAGCATACATCTTCAGCCTAAAATTAAATATTTAATTAAGCATTTCCATTAAAGCCAGTGAAGTTCGTCTTTTCTTAGTTTTGGTTACATCAAGCATCATATATTTTGTCTTTCAGAGAGAAACAGAAGCTAGTGGTATATAATCATTTTTTAGAGAAAAATATAAATAATTCTCAGTAAACTTAGTAAATGGCTCCCACAGATAAAACTTCAGTCCTGTATCAATAGCAGGAAGGCAGCCAATTTCATTGATTCCTCCCTCCCTCACACCTCTTAAAGCTACTTGGGTGGTGGGATGTCAAACCTGTGGTGTCACATGACTTATTGGGACTTTTTCCCCCTTTGCTAAATTGGGCATGGCCTATGGGCCATGAGTTTGACAGCCCTGACTTAGAGTGTTGGCTGGCTGTGATGCAACAGAAAAATTAGTGAAATTTCTTGCTAATTCCATCGTGGGAGTATTTGTATGGAACTCTGCTCAATGGATGCATTTGCTGCTGCTGCTTAAGAAAAATCTGGATCGAATGCATTGTGCACGTTTTGACTCCTATGTGCCTTATTTTCTAGTTCAAACTTTATTTTGACTGATGAACAGTCCCTGTGGATTGAAGCTACCACAAAACAAGTTTACCAGGTGAGATTAATTAATCATCTTGTGCATCTGATTTTACAGTGGGGCTTTTAGGAATAAATTTCTCATAAATTTTATTTTGAACACATTTCATATTCTATTCCAGCTTTTATTGCTGAGCACCACATTTTTAGCTGCTCTGCTGCAACTTTTGATTTTTGTGGCTTTTCTAATTACAGCTTCTATCAGAAAACCCACCTGATGGAAAAAGATTCTCCAAAATGGTAGAGGTAAATTTCAATTAAATTAGACTTTAGGGTGTTTTTTTTTCCCCTCTGCTCAGTTGTGTTCAATTCTCAAGTCTGCCTAGACAAGTCCCTGCAGTTTTCTTGGCATGGTTTTTCAGAAGTGATTTGCCATTTGCCTCCTTCCTAGGACTGAGAGAAAGTCTAGTCCAGGGTCACCCAGATGGTTTTGTGCTTAAAGTGGGATTAGAACTCATGGCTTCCAGTTTCTAGCCTGAAGCTGCCACACCAAACTGGCTTTCAAACTTTAGATAAGTACCATCAATTGCAGTTGGACTCCTCTAAAATAAAGCTGGTCTCTTTGGCACCAGGTCTCCTACACAGTAACCATTTAAAATAAATTTATGCTTTTGAGATGTTTGAACTCAGTTCTCCCACTTGGCTTCTTTTTTAATTCTGAATTTTAAAAATATATTTATATATTTAATAATTTAAACATTTAATGTACATTCAGTGGAACACTTCCACTGTTCAGCAAGATAGAAAAGCTACATTTTTTTTGCTAAGTCTCATTTTCCGCCTTTAAAAAAAAGAGATCTTTTTCTTACTGATACTATTTTTGCCTTTACAGCATATATTAAACACAGAAGAAAATTGGAATTCATGGAAAAATGAGGGCTGTCCAAGCTTTGTGAAAGAAAGGTTGTGTGTATAAACATTTCTTTTTAATCGACATTGCAGGTAGTTTTTGAGTTATGATCATTTGCTCAGTGATTATTCTAAGGTATGATAGTGCTGAAGAAAGGCATTTATGACTGGTGCCCCAAGTTATGGCTGTTTCAGGACCCTGAAGTTGCTTGATCGCCATCTGGGTCCTTATCAATCTGTTCACACATAACCATCAGTTCTAAGCAGCCCGTGCTCTCTTGACTGCCATTTGCCAGCAGTCCCTGCTGGCTTCCCTCAAGCACCGTGTTAGGAATGTAAATCACCTAACAGTTGGGTTGGAAAATATATAAACCAGGGTAGACATTTTAATACTGTCTCTTTAAGAGAATGCTAAAATTGTAATTGGGTGTGGTTCCTCAAATGGCCATAAGATGGAGCCAGAAACCTGGGTTGTTTAGTCCTGTTCTCTTGTTGCTGAGAGTGTTGCCATTCCTACATTTTTCCCTTATGGTAGTTCTTAACTCTAATATCTTGTTTTATAGACAGAGTGATTCCAAGCCAGTAAGACCTTTTGTGCGAAAGAGACCAGCACCTGAAGATTTCTTAGGGAAAGGACCTAACAAAAAAATTCTAATGGGAAAGTATGTTCACTCTTTCATTAATTTATTTCTACTTTGGTATTGGAAATTAAGTGACGCAAAGTGACATTGCCAGGCTGGAAATACTGCTTAAAATAAATTGTATCTGTCTTTGACTACTTTTAATGATAATTGAGGTAGAAATGTGCAAATAAAAGATAAATAAATCTCACACAGATTTATTTTTATTTTACCTATCTTAGAATTTCTTGTTAAATTATATCTTAATTTAGAAACACGAGAGCATAGAATTAAAATTTTGTCTGTGAGTCTAAGCCAGTTATTATATGGAAAGTTTTGAATAATAGTATTGTTATTTGTTGATGATGCTAATGTTAGTGGTATAAAATCTATTCCGTCTCTCATACCTGTGCACACAAACCCATACATAGCCTATGCCTTTGTTGAAGAGTAGTTGTCTTCAGGAATAACTGCTATACGAATCACAAAATATAACAAATAATAATTTGCTTTGTGTTTTGGTTTACAGTGAAGAATTAACTCGCCTCTGGAATTTATGCCCTGATAATATGGAAGCGTGTAAATCTGAGAGTCGGTGAGTAGTTGTAGTTCTTGTACCACTGTGCTTCCTAAACTACTATTCTAGGGACATTCATTCTATAGATCTCTGGGATTGGCAGATGATTTTACTAATCATGTTATAGCGTCTCAAAACTGATTTGTAAATTGGGGATCCTGCTAAAAAAATACATGCCCTTGTACCATAATTGAAGGAAACAGGAAATCCTTCAACATCACTTATGTTCTTTTTGTTTATTTTTTGATTTTGTGCTTTTCTCCCCTTATTTATTGGGTGTGGCACTTGATTAGTATTTGGATAATTATCAGGATAGAATAATTACAATTTTATCTCCCTTTTCATGGATAAAACACTGAATATTATGTGAAGGGTATTCTCTCAATCTTTTGGATTCTGTCAAGACCTAGTCATATGTTATTGATTCGATTTTTTTAAACAAATAGATAAATTAATTCCTATCTATATTTTTCATGGTGGCTAGGTTATTTATATATCAACAAAGGTTGCTGCTTGGGGAAAATTATGTAAATTAATGTAGACATAGCATATTTGTTTATATCTTGGTTTTATTGTACTTCATAAATAACTCAAGGTGGTAAACATAATTAATATTCCTTCCTGCTCCTAAAGTGAGTTAAAGAAATAATGATTTCCTCGTTTGTAGGCTGGTACCTATGTGCAAATAGACAAATGATAATACAGTCTATCAATAAGGGGGAAGCGGGGTTTGCAACCTTTATATCAAGTTTCATGACTTGCTAGATTCAAGGTAGGGTATCTTTAACCCACAGTTCCTTATGCAAGGCATTTATACAACCTTCCTGAGTTCCTTCTGTGTAATTTGAATTGTTTTTGTTAGTGTCAGCATTTGATATCCCTGCATTTATCATTTCACTTCAGCTGTCCTGTAACTTTCTGCTTTAGGAAAAGGTAGAAGAAGGCCCATGATCAGCAAGGATTAGATTCCAGTTGCAACTGGCAGGAAGTCTATGTAGAATGAGGCAGGAAGTGATCGTTCATTATTTTCTTGCATATATTGCCTTTCTCTGTCTAGGAAGAGGCAATGCATGAAAGAGACGTTTCCCCTCTGACCTTTTGGCAGAGAAAACAATGTTGGGCATAGCTTCTGTCCAGTAACAGGGCTACCTGGAAATTGGATTGGTTCTCCAACTTGCACTAATTTTACTCTAATGTAATTAATTCTGCCATCACTTGATAAATTAATCTGAATGAAAAAAAAATCAAATGAATGTATGTGCCTTATGATAGGCTACATAGTAATAAGAGGAATAACTTTAATAATTTATTGAATTGCTCAGGTAAAGGATTTCTCATTCTAAACATAAAGAAGTTGAAGGAGAAAAACCAACAGTTTTATTATTATTTTAGAGTAGGGGTAATAGTTTTAATAAACATTTCTTCCTTCCAAATAAAGCACTTACTTTTCCTTTATTTTCTAGAGAATATATGCCAACATTGGAAGAGTTTTTTGAAGAAGCTATAGAACAGGCAGATCCTGAAAACATGGTTGATAAAGAATTTAAGTATGTTCCACAAATCATTTTTCCCCATAATTCTGCTTGTTCGGGCATATATTCAAAACATGCAGGTAGTCCTTGACTTACAACAGTTCATTTAGTGACCAGAGTTACAATGGCACTGAACAAACGGACTTATGAGTGTTTTTCACATTCATAATAGCATTGATCATTATAGCATCTCCATGATCATGTGATCAAAATTCAGACACTTGACAACTGAGTCATATTTATAATGGTGTCCTAGGGTCACACCTTTTGTGACCTTTGACAAGCAAAGTCAATAGGGAAGCCAGATTCAGTTAGTAACCGTGTTACCATGTTACTAACCCAACAACTGCTATGATTCACTTAGGAAAGGTCGTAAATTGGGGCAAAGTTCATTTAACAAATGTCTCACTCAACAACAGATATTTTGGCCTTAATTGTGGTAATAAGTTGAGGACTACTTGTATTTTGATGTAATGAAATACCTTTTTTTCTGATTATCAAATTAGCAGTCTAATTCTGATTTTGTAACATAGGGTTGTGAATAATTCTAACTATGGCTGGAGAGCATTAAGACTATTAGCAAGAAGAAGTCCTCACTTTTTTCAGCCAACCAATCAACAGTTTAAAAGTTTACCAGAATACCTTGAAAACATGGTCATCAAATTAGCTAAAGAATTACCTGTAAGTAATATTGTCTAATGCATATGATTATTTTGAAGATTCTATGCATGTAATGAATGTGTTGTTGTAATTGAAGTAATTAAAGTATAAATATATAAAAATAACTGTCATAAATTTTCATAGCTATGAAAATTTTTTCTACTATCTTTATTTTTTGTGTAGGAGCAAAACAGTTCTGAGAAACCTTCTAGAGTGAGTTGAGCCGACATAGTTCGTTTCTTTTTGATACTGAAGTATTTAATTTCCTAACATGAATTGGTGCTGTAATTCTAGCCACTCAGAAGTAAATTCCACTGAATACAGTGGCTTAACTTCCAGATTCGGATATATTCCATTCTCATTCTGTAATTAATTATATAAACATTCATGGTAGAATTAATAAATTCAGAATAGTGTAGTGTAATGATTAAGAAAGTCAACAAAGCATATTCTATTTAAGTTCTACAATCTGTTTCAACTTAACATTGCTTAACTTTGCTATTCATCTGATGCATGAAATATATATTTTACTAGCTATCTAGAAGAACATGGGGAAAATTTATATTAAGAGAAAGACTACATGAAGGCTTGTGCATTTTGATTTGACTTAGTACTCTCGAAAATGAAATATTTTAGGACAGGGGTTTCCAACACCTGGGCCGCAGACCAGTACTGGTCCATGGCATTAGGAATTAGGCTGTGCAAGCAGTGGGTGAGCGAGCAAATGTTCAGCTACACATGTGTGGGATCTAGGTTGCGCATGGAACCATTCCCTCCCCAGTCTGTGGAAAAATTGTCTGTGGTGTTAGAAAGATTGGGGACCACTGATTTAGGAAGTTCCTTTATCCTTTACTTTTTCTCCTCTATTTCATCCCCCCAAATCTATCCAATTCCAAATGACCAAAATTTAGTGCTGGATGCCTCTTTTCATCAACTATTCATCTGATACTTAAAGAAAGAACAAGAATATTAGGACCATGTTCTGTTTTTTTTTTTTTGCCTACAGTTTCATTCATTTTCCATATAATTGTCAAGTTTTGTTTGTGAATAGAGAGCTCTGCAGAAGAGTACCAAATAAGTAGTTTTATTTATCTTTTTCCTTAGAAAATGATAATCTTTTAAGATTATATATTGTACTTCACTGAAAGTTTCCCCCCACCCACATTTCTTGTTCTTTCATGAATTTGGGCATTCACTTGGCCAGTATAAAGGGGAAAAGGGGGGGAAATTGGAAGTCTTTATAATGGAATTTTGAATGAGTTGTAGCAAGTTTATTTGTATTACCTGTAAGTATTTAGGAATATTTTTAAATGTTTTTATTGGAGTGAGATATTATTTCTATCATCCTAGTGATTTTGCATGATAAAGATTTTTATCTGAGTTTCAGAATGCAGTTGAAATTAGCTTGAAAAGGGAGTTGTTTTTTATTCTTTATTCAGTTATTCTTTATTTGTAATGTCTTTAAGAGCCTTAATTTCTGGGAAAACAAAAATCCTAAATGTACGGTATATAATTTCCAAATGTTTACCAAACTTTCTTTCATGAGGCCAAGAGATCACCTTGCAACATTTTTTTGACCAAAGACATAACAATGATACTCAATTTTCTCATTTAGCCTCCTTCTGAAGAAATTAAAACAGGCGAGGATGAAGATGAGGAAGATAATGATGCTTTATTAAAAGAAAACAATGAAAGTAAGGCTGGATTCTGAAACCCGAGTAGATTAGGTTTGGTTTTCAGTATGGTCCCTTATCAGTAACATATATTTTAGAAATGACTTCTGTCTACTGTTCAATTTTATTTCTTTGTTAGTTATTTCTAAAATGAATTGTAAATTAATGCATTCAGTCCTAAGCAAGCCAGGGGCCAATTCCCTACTCCCTTTCTGTCTGTTTTTCTTTTGTTGAAATATCTGCATACATTATATATTTGGGGAAAACATATTCAGTGTTCATACAGACAACTTATTTTCAAATTACAACGTGTTTGCTAAAAATTGGATATATATTTTTTGTACAGTCTTAAAATAGTTTAGCAGTATTAATTAATTAAAGTAATACTCTGAGAAAGCTGAACAGCTCATAAATGTGATAAAAATAAACTAATTTTTAATATCTTTGTTTTCCTGCAGTAGATTCAAGAGTCAGATATTTATTAAGCATGTTTTCAGAAAACATTTTATATGCATTAGAATGTAAATAAAACTTTTTCATTTACATCATGCTTAGATAAACTTTTGCTATTATCTTGAACTTCTAGTGAAAAAAGATCAGTTTCCAGGAACAACTTAGTTTACTGCCCAGTTATTAAACAGCATTGTCTAAATCTTGCTCATTTTTGCTTTAGGTCCAGATGTTCAACGAGATAAGCTTGTAACAGGAGAACAAATAGAATTATTTGCTAACAGACTTGGTGAATACTGGAAAGTCCTGGCTCCATACTTGGAAATGAAAGACTCTGATATAAGGCAGATTGAATCAGATAGTGAAGATCTGAAGATGAGAGCTAAACAGTTGCTTGTTACCTGGCAAGATCAAGAAGGAATCCACGCTACTATGGAAAATTTGATTATTGCATTGAACAAAGCTAGGCTGAATGACCTTTCTGAAAGCTTATCCAATGACAGTGAAAACAGTAGCTAATTTGAAAATTGCTTTTTTAATTAAAACAATGGCGATTGTTCCTGAATGTAATATTTGATAGGGCAGTTTGATGACTAATAAATTCTTTTAATAACATAATTGTCTAAAATTCTGCAAAGAATTGGTACTAAACAAACATTCCTCTGAACTCCTTAGGATATGGAAAAGTAGAAAATATATATATTCATGTGTGTGCTATAAAAGAGATTTCTTTAATATAACAGGGTGTTGCATGCAAGCAGGCACTTGATTTCTTTACTGAAAAGCTGGCAAAGGTAACTGCTGTTTGCTAACAAGCTTTGTATATAGGGAGTCAATAAGGACTACATTACAGTTGGGGCATGATTTTCATATAGTCTGTTATAATGGAGTGGCTCCAAATGATTATATTGTTAGCAGAAGTAATACTTGGTTTTGAGCATTCTGGGTCAGGCTTTAAAAAAAAAAATCAGGCACAATGCTGATTTGAAATGAAAAAGCAAAATTGGTAAATTGGTTAACATTGGGATTCTGATCCTAATGTTCTGTAGTTTGAAAAAAAAGTGGCATATTGGAGAGGACACCAATATTCTTCCCATTAGGCAAATTGTGCTGTTTGATAGAACTCCATGAAATTCAGGAATGGTGAACCTTATCATTTACATCAAGTATTCAGATAAATCTGTTCAAAAAACATTTTGTTGGAGGAAAATATTTCTAGGTATCCTGGTTTGGCCTTGTGTTTATGTGAAATGAGCTGTAACAATAAGCAGTCAACTTTTCACCCCAGTGTATGCATCTTGATGCTGAAGGAGGACCAATTACGTCCTACTCAATTCACAGAATTCTGTTGCTTCTTTTATAAACTTATTCAGTTCATCAATTTGTTCCACTTGTGGAACAAGGATAACTTGTGTCCACTACTCTGGTTAACTACTGAAGTAGATAATGCTGCCACAAAGAAATTCAGTATAAAGAATGCACTGCAAAAAGTCCTTTCAGTGCTTTGGTTTTAAGATACTAAGTCTATCTGTTGATGGCACCCATACTACACTATCTTTTAGAACCGTTATTTTGATACCTGCTGCATGACATTATAATTGGGCCTTAAAAAATTAAATGCTTGTGGTTTTGAGTCCTAGATCTTGATGGCAAGAATGTGTTATGATACTGTATGCTATCTCTCAGATGTTTGGGGCATATTAATCACTTTCATTTGAGACTTTCATTTGCTGTTCATGAACCTGTTTTGGCTGCCTTTTCCCATATCACGAGGCTTGCCTTTGTTCTCCACTTCTTTTGTATTCCTGAATAGTTCTCTCCTTTTTAAGGCTTTTGAGGCTAGAAGGGTGAAGTTAGATAGTAACTGTTAATCAATTCTTCTTAACCAAGACAGTTAAGCTATTAGTTTTGTTCCATTCATTAAAAATATTTATAATCTCTATTTCTTCAGGTAAGAAATTCCTGTCTATCAAATTATGTAATGTGGTTTATCTAAAGGGGTTTAAAAATGTTGTGAAAATATCTAATTCCCCCGAGGCCTCTTGCCTAAAATGGTATTTACTTATGCCATTACCTTCATCACCATCTGTTGTTCTTCCAAGGCTTCTAGTTTTCAAATAGAAATCCTGAACCCCTTAAAACAGGGGTGTCAAATTCGATTTCATTGAGTTCTTTTGACTGGAACCCTCTGCAACCTTTCTTCCTGAAACCCGCTGCCAGCAAACAGAGCTCGGGAGGGCCACATGCTGTTTTTTTGCTGGCAGAAGCACTGCAGGCTGATCCTTGGCTGTTTCCAGAGCAGCTCTGCTGACCATGTCTGGCCCGTGGGCCTTGAGTTTGATACCCCTTGTCTTAAAACATTTGCTTCATTTGTCAATAAGAAATCCCAAGCCATATGACTGGGAGGAGTTGAAACTTGCCTTAATAAGGCAAACTTTGTTACAGTTCTTGTATTTGGTTGTACCACAAGTGTGCTAGTGCCCATATGTATGTAAGCAATAGCTATTTTCTCTCTTGCATTATTTCCAATATTTGAGGTCCTATTATCTCTGTTGGTAATATCAGTCCAAGAGTGATAAGGATCAAAAAAACATTCATGAATGTTTTCCTTTTGTGTCAACTATTCTGGTCACCAGAATTAGGATTCACCTCTTAAGAAAAAAAATCAGCATTCTTAGACTGGGTAGTTTTTTTTTCCTCTTTTCTTTTTTTTGAGATTTAATATATAAATCAATATCTTCAGTTTCTGGCCACAGCCCTTTTTGTTTGTAGCCATCTTTAGTGACTATTACTTCAGTGACTTTCCTTCATTGGTTCAATTTATAAAGTAAGTGCTTATGGAAGTTCTGCAAAGAGAAGACTATTGCTTTAAAGATGCAGCTGGAAATTGCAGATTCATTCTTTATAATATATCTGGATGGAAACAGTTTAGCTAACATACCCAACTTCTAATTTATTTGTGTTCAGTTGTAGTTTCCAAAAGGGGTGTTTAAAGCAGATATGCTGATAACATTACTTATAAAAAGATGTATTTGTAGAGGTTTCAGCTCATTTGCAAATGCTTTCTATTTCTTTTACTCTCTTTGCTCTGAGCAAAACAACAGTGAAACAAAATTGAAAGAATCAGATTACATATTGGTGAAAATTTCCAATAGGAACAGAGCAAGATTGAAACTCTGGATTTAAAAGTATGTTTTCCAAACTTTTTACCTAGAACAGCTCAACGGACTACATCTGCTTTAAGAAAAACATAACTATTTAATTTAATTTGCCGTACAGAAACAGAAGTTTTAACAGGATTATCTTTTCAAACTTACTAAAATTTGCATTTACTTGGTTTATTTAATATTAGATCCCGTTCATAGCATTAAGCAAAGATATCCTTAATTTAACTGAAATCTTGAAGTTCTATTCCTTCATGTTCAACAATAGGCATTTTCAATGTAACACTTTTTAAAATATTGTGTTTTTACTGTATCTTCCTCTAGATAATCCTTTACCATTACTGACAAACTAAAATGGGGTACTAAATGAGAAAAAAATTAATGTCCAATATTCAGTTGGTAATTCCTGTAACTACCAACTATTTGACTGCTTACCAGATCACCATGCATTTGAAAGTATGGTTCCAGAATGGAAGGAGAGACACAAGTTTTAGATAAAACACAAATGCCAAACATATTTATGTAAGAAGCACCATCATTACTGATCACTTTTTATTTGGAGTCAAAAATGCCAGCAACAGAGCAGACTGAGTTGGCACATCAGGCTGGACAAATACGTGATTGTAGCCATATTTCCACAGGCTAGGAGCAGCAGCACTGAGTTACATGTTGAGGCAACAGTTGAGTTTTATCTTTCTGACACAATAAAAAGGATGGACAGCTACTGAACTGGTAGAAACCATGCAGGAGTTAACAAAGGTACGAATAGGTGTGCAATAAATATCTTCCTAAAAAATTAGACGAGCAGGAGGCTCACTTAATTTCATTAATAGATAACATTGTTTTAAATATCAACTTTTGCAATACAGTATTAAAATTACTTTCAAATGTTATCAACCTATCCCTAGTAAGTGGCTGCTTGCTATTGGCCTTAGTTTTAAACATGTTTTGCTGTCTTTTTGCACCAAATGACAGTATTTTAGTGATCCAATTTTTCAGTTTATATGAGTCTGGAATTAAGACATTTATTTCACACCTTACAGATGTATACAGGAAGTCTACTGTTCAGATTCATCTTCCACTACTTCGATTCTGCGTGGCCCATAAAGTAGAACATAAGCTATATGCCAGTCTCCACCACCCGATAACCTCAAAATATCTTCGGGGGTAACAATGCTGACTTTGTCATCATCAAATTTAATCCATTCATCTGTGGGAGGAAAAAAAAAACCATAGTCAGTAACACTTTAAATGACATTAACGTGAGAGCTAGCATGGTGTAGTAATGAAGGTGCTGGCCTAGAAAGCAGGAGACTTGAGTTCTGTGGGCATGAAAGCCACAAAGTGGCTTGGGCATGAAAGTCTGTTGGGTGACCTTGGGCATGTCATTCTTTTGCAACCCAACCCACTCAAAAGGTTGCGGGGAAATCAAAGGAGGAAGTCTTAGATATGTTGCCACCTTGATTTATATATAAAAAAGGCAACATAAAATAATAGTGCAGAATTAATTTTTCCATTTATTTTTCAAAAAAGGAAGGCAGCCAACTAAATTATCCTATCCTTTGGCTATTTTTTTTAATTGCTTCAATACCTTGTTTTCGTTTAACCCAAGATACATAGTGTCCAGAAGAGCTAGATCTTCCTTGATGGGTTAGCACTGCCTGTAGCTCGTAATAACCACAATTATTGGAACCAATATCTGAGAAGGCAAAGAAGATGGTACAATGTGATATAATAATAAACACTTTACATATTGTTATCCATTTATTTTGAAGCTCTCACTTTCAGAATCGGAACATGGGAAACAGATTAATCCCCAAAAATACATATGGAACAATGATTTCTAACCATCAATAAAACGCATTCTCAACTTTGTATGCTTGATCCGGAGCTTTCCTGAAGGCCTCTGACACCAAAAAGGAGGCCAGGGAGTGACGTGTGCAAGCGGCGACAAGCAGCCACAGAAATGGGCTGGCAGCGGGCTCCTGCTGGGCAGGGCTGGCAATGCCGCCACAAGGTGTCAGTGGAAGACACCTCCCACCCTCAAAAATAAGACCTGGTGCCTGAAACACAGTAGCTCAGGAATGAACTGTAGGGTCCTTGGTGTTTTCTTGAATTTGGTTGTTTTCTTGCAGATGTTTCATTACCTGACTAGGTAACAGCATCAGCATTCTGAGCGTGGGATTTGTTCATGCTTATATACAGTTTTGGTGGGGCTATTTTGCTTGGTAGTCCTTTAATTAGAGTATTCTCTTCTGCTTATTTGTTTGTCAGATGCTAATCCCTGCTTATCTGGGTGTTAGTTTTGGCTTTTTTTAATGATCTCTTTTAAATGTTGTGTAAATGTGGTTTATCTCTGAGTGTCTACTTAGGGCTGCTTTGTCTGAGTGTCAAGCTTCCAGGAATTCTCAAGTATTTTTTTGGATCTAACTTGATCAAGGATGCTCATGC